GTATCACATGCACATACTCATACCATACACTCACAAACAGGCACGCACAAACACACATACACACACACCACACACATGCTTGTACACACACACTCACACATGCCTACTCACAGCACACTCACACACACGCACACTCAAAACACACATGCACCGCGTGAGAATCTTAATGAGAAGAGGAAGCAATCAGAAAGAGGCAAGAGCTGTACAGACTCCGACTGGCCAGACCTGCAGAGCTGGGAAACAACAGCCTCTTTCAGCGGCTGGCCAGCTCCCATCTGCCGGCCCTCATGCCGGACAGAGCACGGGAACCCCACACAGGCTTTCAGTTTCGCTCCCTCTGTGACATGCACCTTGGGGAGCAGAGTGGCTGCAGCCAAGAGACTCTGCCCTGTTTCAGGAAGGGACATGAGGGAGGGCCCTCCTGGGGCAGTTCGTGTGAGCTCATGTGGGTTTAGAGCTGGGGTCCGCGCCTGATGCCGGGCGTGGGCCCCAAAGAGACGAATGCTCTCGGCCTCCCCACCCGAAGTTTTCTCTGTTCCCTTCCACCCAGACCCACTGTGTCTTCCGCCGAGAAGGGTCATTCAGGAGGTCAGCTCCAAGCCTGTTTGCACGGAGGCCTCTCCCTGTCCTGCACCCCAGGGAAACGAGGATGAAGGGGACCCAGTCCATCCTTGGGCGTCACACACCACCAGGGGGATGGACCCGGCACACTTCCGTGGGTACAGACCCAGCTGGGAGCTGCCACTCGCCATGGCGGGTGGTGTCCCCCAGGTCGGCTTCCCTAACTTCCCTGGTAGGTGCTCAGTCTTGTTCCCCTTGTTGGGAAGAAGCCCCGGCCCACTCCACCCTACAACCCAAATGACGGGTGCTTGGCCACTGCTGGTTAACGTGCATGTTGATCCAGAGGGTCGAGGGTCTCTGGCCGAAAATTCCCAGGGCTCGGGAGGGCGGGGCTGTGGGGCTGGCATGACTCTGGGTCACTGGATCATTGCCAGATCTTTCCCCTGTGCTCCTGGCAGAGAGAGAAGGTTCCAGGGGACAGACGGACTTGGGTACCAGTAATCACAAAGACCAGAGTGAGCAGTTGAGACTTTTCCCAGTGCCAGGCGCGAGACCAGGTGCTGTGTCCGAGTCCCAGAATCCGCGCCACAGCCCTGAGAGGCGCCACCCTCACCCCTCCATCTGCAGCAGAGGATGCTGGCTGGATGGTGTGGGGGTCTCTGCACAGCTGGGATGCAAAGGTGGCCGCTCTCTCTCCATGCTGTTCAGATGGCTGTCCCCTACACACAACTCTCAGCCCCACCCCCGAAGGGAAAGAGAAAATTCTGTTGGTCTGAAGCGACAGAACAGCAGGGAAGAGTTCTTGCCTTGCATGGCCAACCCAAGTTCAATCCCTGCCCCCCACCCCACACACACGGCTTCTCAAGCCGCCCCCTTCCCCCAGGAGTGAGTGCAGAGCCAGGAGTCAGTCCTGAGCACTGCCAAGTGGGAGTGCTGGCCCCCACCCTACTCAGCCCCACCCCCCCAAAAAAGTCCCAAGTTCAAAAGAAGAGAGAAAGCCCCTCGGTAAATGAAAAATAAAAGATGTCAAGCCTTGGCAGATCGAGTCCTCCTCCTGCAAGGCAACCCAATTCTCCAAAAGCACACTGGTGCGTGTGTCAGGACCACAGGCCGGTGCAAACGGAGAGACCGGCTGCGTTCTCCTGCTGGAGCTGGGGCTGAGGGCTGAAGGCAGTGCCGCCGAGCCAGGAGCCGAGAGGGACTTCCGGAAGTGTGCACCGCGCTGGCAGGGGAGGGAGGAGAGCGGGGATCGATTTTATTTTTAAACCTTTCACACGCGGGTTCCTGTTACTACCCTACTATTGTATGATTCAAGCAGCGGCTCCGAGGAACACCCTGGCACGCATGCCTGGGGCTTCGGGGCGCCGGCGACACGGAAGGAGGGAAGCAGGAGCCAGGCACGTGCCTCCAGCACGAACTCCGTCACCATGATCCCCTCCCCCCAGCGACAACCCACACTGGGCCCAGAGCATCCCTCCAGCTCGCTCCAACTCCACCCCCGGGCACAGAGCACTGAGATCAAACAGCTCCTGAGACCCAGAAAACAAAGCACCTGACAGGGCATCAAGACTAGATTGGGGGGGCGAAAAGACAGTAAGGGGGGGAAGGTGCTTGCCGTGCACACAACCAAGCTGGGTTCGACCCCTGGCACGACTTAGGGCTCTCCAAAGCACCGCCCAGAGTGACGGGTGAGCAGAGAGCCAGGAGCACCGCCAGATGTGGCCCCCAAACAAGCAAAAAGCCGGGGGGCCCTCGGCAACACTGCAGCAAAGTGCTGCCCCTGCCTGGAGACTCCTCCTTTGCCCGGCTGCACCTCTGACCCCCCACGTTCGATTCCTGGGTGAGGGGTTGGGGGTCAGCTGACCCGGGGCAGCATCTGTGTGCCCAGAGGGTGTGAGAGATGGGTCATGCCACAAAGTGTCAGTGTGTGTGCATAAAATTCCAGTGATGGCGAAAGTGGAAGGAGAGAAAGAAGAATACACGGGGGGGGGGGGGGGGGGGGGGCGCAGCGGGGAACGGGGGACCCTGGGGGGGGCAACACCGGAACCCCCAAGGAAAAGAAGAAAAAGAGCCTTCCCCGCCCCCACCTCCACCTGTGTGTGGCAAGCACACGGCCACGCCGGGAGGGGGCTCCTAAGTCACGTGGCACCGTCGCTCCCTCACGGGACTTCCCACTGGTCAGAATCTGGCAAGCACAGCCAGGGTCCCCTGGACAGCCAACAGGTGGGCGAAGCCCTCAGTGATGTAGTGGGGTCCTCCCCATAGGCCGAAGAGCTGGGGCCACAGTGAGGTCACAGCCAGAGACACCGAAGGAGAGGAAGCCCTTCTGGGGCCAAAGGAGAGGCGGTGGGAGGGGCGTTCGGCTCCCCAGAGCTGGGAACACCCAATTTCAGCTCCCTGGGGAGAGACACGGTCTTGCTTGAACGGGCTCGGTTTTCTCCCCTTGTTGCTGCTGTTTTTATTCTTAAAAAAATGGAAATCTTCCTAAGCGTTCTGTGGGGGCAGGAAAAGACGCTGATTCTTGCTCTGAACTAGAACTAGATTTCGAACTGCCAGAGGGAAAGTAGCCCGTGCTATGCACAGTGAGCAGTAGGAACACGGGCTGAGGGGAAGGATCACGAGGACATGAAATCACCCAGTACGTGTCGAGTGTTTGGGCCCGACTGCTGCCTTGGCCCTTGCCAGAGCTCCCTTAAACGAGCGTCTGTGAAAAGCAGGAAAAAAGGAAAAGAAAAAAAAGAGGCAATTACAGTCATCACAGAAAATAGGCGATTAATCACAGGCGGCTTCGGACTAACTGTGGCGGCTAAGACCCCCACAACCCCCCCGACCATCCTAGCTCAGGCCCCGAGTCAAATTCCCCCCACGTCCTCTCGGGCCTGCCAGACCCCTGAGCCAGCGTCCCCGGTGAGCGGTCAATCCCTCCCAGCCAGAACTCGAACTCTCCTTCCTGTCCAGTAAGGTCACCCCCGTGACCTTCAGGGTGCTGCGTGTGTCCAGGGAGGGCTGCCCGCGAGCCGCCCCTCCACACCCCCGCCCCCACCTTCTGCCCTGCTCTTCAGAGCCGAACCCTAACCCCAGCTCTTCTGGGCCTGCTCGAACCTGGCCAATGGCACATGCAACAGCTCGGGCGCCTTTTGCCTCTCCTCCCCTCCCCCGTCACTCTGGGGGCTGCAGAGCCCAGGAGCCAGTCAGCACCAGCAAGCCGACCCAAGCCCAGACCGGGAGGGGACCCGACTCCAGGGAGGGGCACGAGGAGAACCGTCTCGGTGCCTTCGGGCAGCCGAGTCTCTCTCTGGGATCAGCTCGGGGGCCAGGACCCCACGTCAGATCCAGCCCCCAGTTCCCCACGGTCAGCCCGAAATCTTCTGAGGAAGCTTCCGGGCCACGCAGCGCCCAGGGGAGACCCCCGTCCAGGGACCTGCACCAGCTCCCCTCAAGCCACTACCTCGGGGGCCAGCACGACAGACTGAGGGCAAGCGAACGCTGCGGGGAGAAAATGAAATCCGCCTGAGCAGGCAACGACTCCTTAGCCGACGCTTCCCTGAGAGCCCCCCAGCAAGGGGCTGACACCCGGAGCACCACGGACCTCCTTGGCACAGACCCGCACCGTGCCCCGGAGACGGAGCAAGAGGCTGGCTGCCTTTGCAGAGAATTCCTGGGGGCCAGGAGCCCCGGGTTCCAGTGGCAAGCCACCGCGTCTCTCACGGCTTCCGTCAAGAAGGGAGAGAGCCACAGCCGGCCGGTCAGGGGCCCATGGGGGCACTCAGACGTCCACGCTCTAGCCGCCCCCTGCCCCCTGCCACGAAGCCGAGTTCCTGTGAATCAATGGCTCGGCTCCATCCCGCTCTCCCGGGGGCTCCCTGTAACGGGGCTCAGCTGCCACAGCCCCGATCCTGCAGCAGACCTCAAGCGGCCAGGCACCGGCTCCGGTTCCAGCCCCTGGAGCTGGGCTCAGCCGTCGAGAAGCTCTGAGGAGCCCTCTGAGTGCGGCCAAGAGAGCGACCTCCATCCACCCACCTGAGAGCCAGACGGACGGACGGACGGACGCCCTGCCGGACCGTTTGCCTTCCCCCCACCCGGGGCTCCTTCGGCCAGGCAGCTGCCCGTCCGCACTGCTCCCTGCAGCCCCCGCCCCTGCCTCCTCCCCAAGCCCCGAGCAGGGACTGGCACCCAGAACGGAAAACTAGCCCAAAGTGCCCAGGTGACGATCACGATGCTGCGGACAGACGGGGAGAGGTGCCTTTCGCACAGCAGCCCGGGGCCAGGCTGAGCCCAGCAACGCGCAAACAGGTAAACTGCTCTCTGGTTGCAGGCGGGCGGGCGAGCGCCCCCCCCTCCCCCGCCTCCCCTCTCCCCTCCGCCCCCTCCCCCCCACCTTTGGGCTCTGCATGCCTGGCCTCGATGCAGGTCCCTTCAAAAGTCAAACGTGCACTTACTCAGATCTAGCAAGAATCCCCAGCGCCTTGCTGTAGGAAAACCCCACAAACAGCAGTCCTTCGCCCGAGAAGCCGGAGGGGCTCAGCTGGCACGCAGAGGATGGAGCCCACGAATTCTTCTCTGGTTCATCAAAATTGGAGGTGTCATCATCAGACTTGAGGGTGGGAACGAAGGGGGGAGGAGCTGGTTAAAGAAAAACAAGAAGGGGGAGGGAAATTCAGCGGGTTCCAAACACTGTTGCGGAGGAGAGGGGGGGAAAACCCGGCTCCCTCGTCTCCCTCGGTCCGCGCTCCCGGTGGCACTGCAGCTCCTGCTTCCAATCTCGCTCTCACAGGCAGCCCCAGCCTCCCGGCTGGTACAGCAACAAGAGATTAACCCCTTCCCTGCCAACATGGCCACCACCCCGCAGCCAGGCTGCCTGCCCGGTGAGGGGGGCGGTGGGGGGCCGGGGGGCCGAGGGAGAAACTCAGACAGGTCTCTGGGGGGGGCCACGGAGAGCCCCTGGGGGCCTCACGGAGGCTGGCCGCTTGTCCCTGCCATTTCCCGAGTGCTTCGATGACCTCCACCTCCCTCTCCTCTCCCAAGACAGGTCTACATGACTCCCACTTCATGCAGGTCACTGAGACGCCACGGGACTCGGGACGTTCCACGGCATCGCAGCCGGGAACGGGACGGGGACGGAAAGGGCTCGGAGAGGCAGCAGGTAACTCGGGCAAGGCAGAGCCCCGAGCCGAGCTCCTCGGGAGCAGGGAGCAGGGACAGACTCGAAGGGATCGTCACCCACTTTCCTTCTCTTTTTTTTCCAAGTTCCTTATCCCTCCTCCCCCGACTAAGTCCTGCCCTCCCTCTGAAACCGCCGCAGTTCCATCAGCAGGATGAGATGCCAGGCAAAACAAAGTTCTGGCGGGGGACGCCTGTGCCCTGCGGGAAGCAGCCTACCTCGGTCAGGCACGTCTCCCGGCCAGGGGCACCGCACGCGGCTCCGCTTCCGCAGCCCCACTACGCTCCCACGGGCGGGCGGGCGGCCGCGCTGCACACTTGCCCGTCACCAGCAGGCTGCCCGCTGTCGCCGTGGGCTCCCGGGGGTGCAGCCGGCCAGCAGCAGCGTTGCCATGGCTGCGGGCTGAGGCAGCCGCGGTGGCGGGAGAACCGGAGGGGCCGGGCGCGAGCTGGCGACCCCGCGACTGGGTGAGCCGGGCATCACAAGCCCCGCAGTGCAGGCTGCAAGCGCCCCGCGCCGTGCATGCCCGGCCGTGACCCCACCTGGCCGCCTGCGTGGCGGGGCCAATGCTGATCTGAGCGACGGAGCATGAGTCACTGCCGGGGAGCTCGCCAGAGCGCCCCCTAGGACAGCCGGCACAGCCACTCCGGGCCAGAGGTCTTTTGCTTTGGGTTTGACTCTTTGTTTCCTGGGCGAAGCTGAGCACCAGCTCGGAGCAGCAGTCTGTCTGGCTGCTTAGGAAAGAAGATGCCAGGACGGCCGGGCTGTTCCTCTCCAAAGTTCCCCCGTGACGACGACATCATGGGAACTGCAGCGGGAAGGAAGGGTGCGGGGAGGGGGGCTGGAAGGTAAGGGGGGTGGACGAGGGGGAGGGCCGGGAATGAATGGCTCCTGCGAAGTGGCAGGGAACGTTCTCAGAGCGTCAGGGGCAGGGACACGGGCGAGGCAGGAGGAGACCAGGCAAGATGCACCCCACCTGCTAATTACCGACCGCCCCTTGAGCTCACAGGGGAATGCAGATCTTCCGTGAGTATCTGAACCGGCTCCGCTCAATATTTGAAAGATTAGCCAACTGGGAGGAAAAATGACATTGACTGCCTCAGCCCACAGCCAGGCTAGGCTCCCCCCAGCACAGGCTCACGGCCAAGCGGACTCCGGTCGCCACTGCCTGCTCCTTCTTCAAGCAAACAAACAAAACACTTCCTTTTCACAGAAATCACATTCACTTCAAGAATGACCACACACAGAGACATTTTCCCTCCCCCAGAATGAGAGAAACCCCATCGCCCAGGGAAATGCATGGAGCAGGATTGGCCGAGGAGCCCAGCACAGAGAAGTGTTTTGGGTCTTTGATGGCTAACGGAACAGGTGCAGACCCTGGCATGGAGAGCACTTCCTCAAAGGGTGCTAGAGAGGTTACCCTCGGGTTGAGTTGTCAGGGGTGGTCCTGCCCAGGGGTCACACAGGCAAGGCAGGCCAGCCGCACCCCAGCCCCAGAGTGAGGTTTAAACGGAGAAATCTGCCTCATGTGCTAGGACAGTTCTTGGTGGATAGAAACACCGTAAGGATGACCTGTGATGATGATGGAGCAGAAGCAGGAGGAGGAGGAGGGAGGAGGAGGAGGAGGAGGAGGAGGGAGACTTTGGACAGGAAAGACGCCTGTCGTGAGGGGCCTGGGGGGATGGGCAGCCACAGAATCTGGACAGATGTTCCTCCGCCTGCACGGTGCAGACGCACTCCCCTGGATGCTGGGTTAATCACCGCGTTCCGTTCCCAGCCCAAGTTTAATTCCCTTTCCACTATATACTAATTTATCTCCAGGAGACCGAAATAGAATTCCATTCCTTGCCGAGGACTCTGATTAATGTAGGGGCAGGAGCCGCCCTCTGTGGAATGAGGCTGATTGAGAAATTCCCCACTAGAGCATAAGATCCCCTTTAAGGAAGACTCCGTCACGCGCAAAGCTGGACCATGTGGTCAAGGTCTGAAAACGGGCCAGACAGTCAACTGTCAACGAAAGGCAGGGAAACGTCACCGCGAAAAAAATCACAGCAGAGGCCAGCGAGACGGGACAGCGGGGAGGGCATCTGCCTTGCACGCAGCCGACCTGGGTTTCAACCCCGGCATCCCACTTGGTACCCTGAGTGCCGCCAGGAGTAATTTCTGAGTGCAGAGCCAGGTGGAACCCCTGATCACTGACAGGGGTGGCGCCGCCCCGCCCCCGCCCCCCCAGCCACACACACACAAAAGAAATTCTAGCAGGTAACAAGCAAGAGGTTTGCCAGACAGTGCAAAAAGAGGGCATAAGAGGCTAGACAGGAAGTGCAGAGTGAAGAGAAGGACTGGCACTGATGGCTGGGGAGAGGAGGGGGAGGGGACGGTGGCAGGGACGCCCCGCTCAGGGCTCTGGGAGAGCAGAAGATCGGCTCCTCAGACTGGCACCTCAGGCAGGGTCTTTGCACTCGCAGAGTCCTGCATGGTGTGGGGACTGCCAGCCACAAACTCAGCCACACTGGCCCTAAGTCAGAACACAGAGGAGAAGGGATGGGCACTTCCACAGCCCGCAAATAACTCTCTCCTCTCTCTCTCCCCACCCCGCCCCTGTCTGGAAAACATTAATGAGTGTTTGTGTTAACATTTGCGGGGCTAATCTTTATTATAAATCATCGTCTCCTCACCAACTCCCCCAGAGCCACCACTTCCGATGATGACCGAGACCGCGTCTCTTTTCCTCTGTGTCACTGCCAGCCTGGCCTGGAGGTCGCGTCAGAGGACCCGTCCTAGTGGCAGGGGCTCTGTGAGCAACTTCTTAAGGAACCCACCAACACTCCCATTACAAGACAGAGGCAGAACAAGGCTATCGGAAAAAATAGCAAAAAGCTGTTTTAAGAGCTGGAGTTAGCTCAACTCTCTGCTATAAATTCTTTTTTATAAGTCCTCACGTGCATTAGACACTTGGAAGTGGACTTGGGGTGGGGTGGGGGGTTCATGTTGACAGTTATTGAAAACAAACATGAAGAAGCGAATGGATGACCCGCCTCTGTCCAAACACACCCCTCGGAGCGTCAGGTGCCCTGATTCCACCTTCCTTTTCCAGCACACCGATCCAATCCCAAAACCAGGAAACCACTTCTGACTTGGGGGTGGGGGAGAGGCTGGCTGTCTGCTTTCACCACAGATCAAGCTCCTTGAGGGGAGAGGCTACATGGGACTCCCTCCTCCCCCTACATGCCCAAACCTCAAACACCGAGCTGCCCTGATCTTTTTTTTTTTTTCTTTAACTTGTCTGGTTTTGGTTTTGCCACACCGGGCAGTCCTCAGGGCTACTCCTTACTCAGGACATAGTGGGGGTCCCTGGCAAGTGCTGGTGACCAAACCCAGCCTCCTGCCTGCAGAGCAGGTGCTGTTCCCCCGAGCCCACTCCCCAGTCCACCAGGTTTCACATAAAGAAACAAGCCCAGGGGCTGGAGCAATAGCACAGCGGGCAGGGCATTTGCCTTGCATGTGGCCGACCTGGGTTCAATTCCCAGCATTCCCTGTGGTCCCCTGACTATGGTAATTCCTGAGTGCAGAGCCAGAAATGACCCCTGTGCATCGCTGGGTGTGACCCAAAAAGCAAAAAAAAAAAAAATTTAATAAAGAAACAAGCCCAAGACAAGGACCTCGAACAGGGTCATTCCAGGCCGCTCACGGAGACCCAAAGGAGTCATGAAGAACTGACAGGCAGAGCACAGAGCCCAGGGCGGGACCCAAGTCAGACCCCCAGCACCTCCCCTCCATCACAGAGGAGCTGTGGCCCATGTCTGTGACCCCTTGGTCTCCAGGTGGGAATGCCACAACCAAGTGTTCGAGCCCTGCAGTCAAGAGCGGGGCACCCACAGCCCTGACATCAGAACCAGCACAGAGGGAGGAGAGGGTGCAGGAGGCAGGGGACCGGCCCTGCACACCAGGGACCCAGGCCCTGGCCCCATCCCAGGCACAAGCTCCCCAAAGCATCGTCAAATGTGATGCGGGAGGGTCCCCAGATGCCCCAGGCCCACTGCAGGGGATCAGGGACCCTGGTGGCTGAGAACTGCTGGGAGGGGCCTCTCGAGCACACTTGGAGCTCCCCCTTTATGTAAGGGGCCAGGACCGGGCCTGGATCCACTCAGTGTCAAACACACTCTCGGCTTCGTCCGACCGACCAGGGTCTCACATGGTTAAAAAGAAGAGGATGAAGAGAACGAAGCGCCGAGCCGAAGAACTGGGCGTCCTGCTCACACCCAGAGGAGGAAGAAGCAAAAACTTCCGCAGCTCCACGGTTACCTATATCATGGAGGGAGGATCTCAAGCCAGGGAAGAGGGTGCTTCTTCCCTGGAGCACTCGGCTTTGAGAGACTGAGAAGAAAACAGGGAGGGGGGATGTCTGCAGGGGGGCCTCAGGGAGGGCTGAGCGGCTTCCTGCAGGAAAGTGCCAAGATGCATCTCGAGCGTCAGTTCAAACGCCACTCGGAAAGGCGAGGAGGAGTGCATCTCCAGAAACACCCAGAGCCCGAGCCAGGTGTGGGTATACGGCTGGGGAGTCCGTGCAGGTGGGACCTTGGCCCCCGTGAGTGGACCCTGGTGCTGGACCAACACAGGGATGACTGGAGGCTCAGAGCGTGGGCTGGTGTCTGTGCCCAAGACTGACTCCATCATTGCAACAGTGACGGCTGTGAACGTCTTTCCCTCTCTCAGGACAAGTGACAAATTCTATCCTCAGGACCAGATAACAGAAACCAAGGGGCTGCGGATTAGTGGGAGTCTGTCAAAGGAAGTGGCAGCGAAGGCGGCAACCCAGGCCAGAGGGACAACTCGGCGGGGGAGGGAGCGGCTGCGGGAGAAAGTGCTCGCCTGGAAAGAGCAGGTGAGCCAGCAGGGCGCTCGCACAGGAGCCAAAGCCAGCCAGCGGCACCCAGCAAATAAAGCGAGCCCTCCCCCGCCACCAGCCCCTGAGAAGTGAGTAAACCCCCCGGGGTCCTAGGCAGGTCCCCCAGCACCCCAACCCCCTAGGAAGGACACTCGGGAATGGCTGCCCAGATGACCCCACTGTCTAAGAAGGAAGAGAAGTCAGGCCCACTCTCCCACAATTTCATAAAATCTCTCCCAGAGGGCAGAGAGAGAGAGAGAGAGAGAGAGAGAGAGAGTGTGTGTGTGTGTGTCTGTGTGTGTGCATGTGCGCACAGGGACTAAGGTGCAGGATCCAACCTGGATTGCCCCCTGGCACCGCGCGCAGTCCCTTGAGCACTGCCAGAAGTGATGCCTGGACACAGAGTCAGAAGAAAGTCCTG